GTGCAAGCTGCCGAGAGAGAAAGGCATTTTGTTCCACATCATCCTGTGTTGAATCATAAAAAGCCAGGAAAAGTTCGAGTAGTGTTCAGCTGTGCTGCCTAATCATGTATCTCTGAATGATTGAATACACTTAAGACCAGATTTAATAGAAGTATTCCTCAGAATCAGAAAATTTAAGATTGGGCAATCAGCAGACAGAGAGGAAATGTCCTTTCAAGAACATCTACTTAACGAGGATGAAGAAGTTCTCGACTTCTTGTGGTTCTCAGAAATAATCTTGACTCAATTCCTGATATTGACTGTCTTTTGCCGTTTATGATTTTAGACGTATGATCATCGGTCACTATGATTTATTCGACAAGAATACGAGCTACTCTTCGACGAAAATTCCACGTGTGCTATTATCTTGTTTCTGTAGAAATAGTGTCTGGGGTCCCCGAGCTAGCGGATATTTTAAGTCAACTTGTAAACCTCTGCGTTTTCCGAAAATATAAGTGTGTCAGTAATGAATTCGATGCTCGAAACGATGTCGCTGTGGAAGGCGAATCGGATAACTTCGTTTATATTTCAGGTTCGAAATAACGTATACGTAGGACTTTAGGACCTACATTTACAATAACTGAAAGGGAATGGCGACTAAGGCTTTGGTGCTGATCAGTCGGTACTTCCATCACATTTCCCATAGGTTAGCTGCCATGTGCAAGCATATTTGGAATGGTAAGGGTGAAGAAAACAGATATGAATGTGTTATCGAATGTCTTCAAACAGGTGCTGTGCACTCAGAAGTAGCATTCAATCCGAACCGTAGTGATCTCGTGGTGGATATAATGGGTTTAATAGACAGAAGAGGAAATGGAAAAGTAAATCACAGTGATAGTAGGTCTAATTTCATCCGACAGAATTCTGCATTTCAAGATATACGAGTGAGTGGGACACAAATAATTTTAATAATGTTGCTGCATCCAGAGGATTACGATAGCATTTAATCCGTCCATTGGGTAGGTATCGCGTCCTAATATGTGAGAAACTGATACTTTCGGTTGGACATATGTTGGTGGGACGTTCTATAGAGTAGGTTTCGTGTCTAAATCGATAGTTTGTTTATCTCTTGAAATTTTTCATTGTTTCGATAACTTCTGCACCGATATTTTGATATTCGTCAATCTTGTTCAACTGAACCTTCAGTCTTTTAGTCTGAGTAGGATGTGTTTTATGATTTCTAGATACACAGAGCATATCGTTTTGACTTACCGATGCCGTTTACCCTCCACATTTGTTTGCTAGGTATATTTTGAGTTGACACCTAAAAAAGTAGGAATAAATGGCAAGTGTTTCTCTTAGAAGCCAGTACTTGGTGGATGTTCGAGGGATTGTACTGAATCCTGTAACTTTGTTTATGTATGCAAATGAACTCTGGAATATAGTTGAGTCCCAGGTGTTGCTTCATGCTGATGATGTGAAAATTTAGCGAGAAATAACAGGAGACGTAGATGCATATGCAGTTCAGGAGGATTAAGATGCTACAGTTCTCTGGTCTAAGAGATGGTCGGTGTTTGTCGACGCAGTCACGTGTGCCTCAGTCAGTCAGCTACAACGTTGGACCAGGCACATGTTTGTGTCTGTATGAAAATGAGGGGATCGAAAGGTAGATATGTACAACATAGGAGAAGATTTGGTGCTCGTTATCGGTTCTTACAATGAATTCGTAGTAACAGTGAGTCATGATCATCAAACCACGTCCCACTAACGCGTGGTGATAGCTGAGTGGCTCACAATCGTATAGTTTTTATAAGGATATTTATCAAGTTGGATAACAACATGTTCAAAAAGTGTACACAACCTTTATGAGATCTACCTTTGAAAACTGCATTCAAGCTGCAAGCCTCTATTTCAACGGTGTTGTGGATATTTCGAAAAGTGTATAGACAATAGCTACTCGCGCTATCCCAAAACTCCGGGTTTATTATAGTCCGAGAGACTGGAGAAGTTGAACATCTTTACTCTTCCCTACTGCAGATTAAGAGGTGGTGTGATTTCGGTGTCCAGAATACTAAGAAAATGATTCTGTACTTGATATATCCTATATTTTTCTTTCTACTAAGTCGGGACAACTTCAAGGGCATAGCGGGAGAGTGCAAAAGACAAGAACGAACAGACAACACGAGGCATACTGGTTTCCATGCTGGGCCACCAAATTCTTGAAACTTGTTACCTAATGAAGTGGTGTCCTACTCTCTAATTGAGTTATTCAGGTGAAGACTAAACATTCTCAGACGCCTACTAGAAAAGGACTAGCACAGACCAGAGGCGTTCTTTCCTCACTACACAAATCTGAATCTAATCTGAATGTAAATATAGATCATTACCTATCCATTAGTAATAGACACGCCGAGCCGTTAGTCGAAAGATCCTTACTTTCTGTTCAGAACTAGCCGAACTATTTGAGTGAGATACGTATGACCTCATCTGAATGTGATAATCTAAAATAAAAATTGTAAAATAGTCTGAATCTTACCTTGCACAGTTTCTGCCTCGAGTTTCAGCTTGTTCGAATCTCCCCAAATGCTGACTGCTGCTTTCATTGTTGAAAGTCCCACTCTTGACACTGCACTTATTGGGGCAGTTTTCACTCAGAAACCTCCTCTATACAAAGAACCAGACCAACATAAAGAGTCAACAAACTACCTGCTCACCGTGGGCTTCGATCAAGACGATGTGCTTAAGGCTCTTAGCACCGCAAACATGGAAAAGTCAGCAGGACCAGATGAACTACACCCCAAAATCTTGAGACATATTACACGATATATCACGAACCCACTTACTGTGATATTCAATATGTCACTTTGCCAGGGTGTGTTACCTATGGACTGGAAAGACGCAATCGTCACTTCCATACATGAAGAAGGACCAAGTCAACTTCCATCGAACTACAGACATGTAAGCCCCACCAGTGTTGTCGTTAAGTTATTGGAAAGAATAGTCAAACGAACCATAATAGCATTTATGGAAGCCAATAACTTACTAAACATAGAACAACATGGTTTTAGGAAGGGTCAATCTTGTGCCACGAACCTCCTTATAGCAAGGGAGTTTTGGATAAAAGCGCTAGACAACGGAAACTCAGTGGATGTTGTCTACACAGACTTCAGTAAGGCTTTTGACAAGGTGCCATCTAAAAGACTGCTATTGAAGTTGGAAACCCTCGGTATTGCAGGACTTCTTTTAAAATAGATTAGGGATTTCCTAGTGGGTCGTCGACAGAAAGTAAGAGTAAATTCCAAGTGCTCCATCTGGAAACCAGTACTTAGTGGGGTACCTCAAGGTTCCGTCCTAGGTCCTTTGCTTTTTATAATGTATGTTAATGATCTTCCAAGTATAGTACAGTCTCCAATGTTATTATACGCTGACAGTGTAAAGATCTGGCGACTAATAACTGGAGATACAGACGTATGTGCTCTTCAGGCAGACTTAAATAATATGATTAACTGGTCTAAAGAGTGGTTGATGCCTATCAACGCAGTAAAGTGTGTCTACATGCACTTTGGGGATTCAAAGGTTGATAGGTACAACATAGGGGAAGTGCCATTACCCGTAGTCCGGTCTCATAAGGATCTATGGGTGACAGTGAGAAATGATTCTGAACCTAACTTATTCTCTCTTTTTCTTCCCACATAGCAGTCGAGGAGAAAAGCCAAGAACGAACAAAATACTCGTGGCATACAGGTTTTCACACCGAGTCATCAATACTTGGAACCTGCTGCCCGAAGCAGTGGTGTCCGCACCTTCAATTCAGTCTGCAGTAATAAGGATAGTAGGTTGGTGAACCTGTGTTAATCCTGACAGATTGTCTTCCAGTGAAAGTCCAGTTTCTCCTTGAAAATATTCACTGATGGGGCTGATAACACTTGTTCGGGTAAGGTGTTCGAATCATTGACTACTCGATGAGAAAAACAGTATCCCACTTTAAGTTTATCAGATCGCAGTTTATGAACCTTCTTTCTATGACCTCGGAGATTATTAGTGCTGGAGGGAGCAAAAGGATAAGACATATTAACACCTAAATCATAATTAAAGATACGACATGCCAGTATAAGGTCACCCCACGTCCTGAAGATAGAGATGATTAGCCACACTTTTTATTGTTCTTTGGATTTTAACGTCATCCGCAAACAATAATGTAGACAACCTAAGCAACAGCGGTAACTCGTTAACGTAGAGAAGGAAGAGTAGAGAGGCTAAGATGATGCCTAGGGGTACACCACTTTCGACTCTTGCAAAAGAAGACTGGACACTCACAGAAGCATACTAGTAAATGAATAACATAGGCCGTAGGCCTTCTGTCCTTACTACACAAGTCTGGGATCTGAGTCTGAATTTTGTTCACTTGTTGGATCCTCGGCACTTCGATCAAAGTAATGAAAGTGGACGACCTTGTGCAAGGGAATTTAGATGTGGCTAGTGATAGAAGTAAAGTATGTGGACGAATCAGTCCGATCTTGGTGTGCAGTGCGTTCGTATGTTCTTGTAGCAGGTTGAACTATCTGCTTCTAGTTTCAATCCAAAAATTGTTTTGATATGAGATTTGTGCTGTCTGTGATTCCCGAGCTCCCAAGTTTGGGGAAATTATGTAATAATTAAAAGTATTTAAATCATTATACGAACTACGAATTCCCGAAGTAGTGCAATTTACAGCGAACAAAACTAGATAAACCCAAAGGAATATATTGCATTTAATGTTTGATATCAGGCAGTCATCAAGTACAAAAGAATCAGCAGTTCATTCAAACACTACAGATTGTTGCCGATTGGTTTCACCAACGAAACTACACGATACACTGTGTGTGCTTGTTGGGTCATCGATTCACCTTTTATTTTGTCCATTTGTTTCCCAACCATCACGCTACTCTGCATACTCCTTTAGTACACAACGTACCTCTTGGCTAGATGCGAACCTCCACAATTCTGTTTTTGATGGGAACTTTATTACTTCATATGTAAAGGCCCGTTATTCATTTTAGAACTATGTATCAGCCATGAATGTAACAATTTTCTTGCACAAATCGCCTTAGTATTTTTCGTGCTTGCTGAAAGGCGGCTCGAGGTGAAGGATCTAGGTCGCTCATATTCTTTACTTCTACCCGATTCTCAATTGAAAAGTTATACAATTGTAATTTATGAACACTTTTAACATAACTTAAGAACTGATATACGTGTGAGATGTTAGTGCTCTAGCTATAATACAATAATGCTTGTTGACCATTATGAGGAAATGAATTCCACGCCAAAAAATCTGTGGTTCGTTTGTTTTTTAGTTCTGACACTTCTCACGCTCTCTACACTTCTAGGTTCTGTCACGTGTTACTTTTCACATTATGCCAGTACATAACATGCCTTCATACTAGACACAAACGCTTCATTTGCCTAATGCTATTGGACGCCTTTTCTTAGGGGCTTAAGGATCTTCCATACGTTGGACCAACGTATAACCGATATCTCTTTACTTCGACCTGGGTTTATGAAACAGGAAAGGATGTATTCTGAAGAATAATCCTCTTTCAGGACTCTTAAGGAGGAAAAAATCCACTTGACTTCAAGAACAAGACTAAGTAAACTCAGTGACTCCGAATGTGAGAGAAAACTATTAGTATACTAATCCATCGATAATTTAAAACTATCAGTCACAGCTTGTGATACCGAACAACTGTGAGTCTATCGGTGGTTGAAAATGTCGGAAGTTGAGTTATCAACTTCATTAAAACGTCTCCCTAAATTAAGTTTTGCTAAGATTAGAAAACCTTTAAGTATCAATGGTGCTAAACAGCAACTAAACATTTTATTATATTTGGAGCAACGATGTTACTTGAATGTTATTGTTATCAGTAGATATTTTATAAGTAGAAGGGATGGTAATCTTGTGACCGAATTTAAATTAGGGTGGGGCTAGTAGTGATTTTCGTTATTTGAAGTTGAAACCTCTATGCGATATATTTTCTCGCTAAAGAGCTGTTTTGCCATTTGTTGTAGTTACCACATATTTCTATGCATTTGAAAATTGAAGTGAAATGGAGATATCTATGTTTGATCCTTATTTTGGAATAAATTTTAAGGTCGAAGAACCAGTAGAGTTAGATGACCTAGTTATAAGGTCGTCACAGGAATTAGTCTCAAAAGATGTAAATGTTGTTCCTGAAAAATGTATAGAAGGTAGGTAACCATTATTATTATCATTATATTTGTGAGATTCCTATTTGCTCGTCACTCGTTACTAGAAACCAACATGTAAGAACTTGTTTGTAGGAACTATACCAATGTTCGGTCCTTAATTTTAATTATTGTCACATGAAACGTTACTTGTATGCTCTCCAAACGCAGCCATGTACTTCCATGTCGTTTTGTGCATGTTCACAATCTCATTAATCTATAACTATACGTAACAGCACCGCACTCTGAGCCCCCGCTGTTCATAAAGTAATTCATCTAGGTCACTCACTACAAAACACTGATGACCTCGCCTGTATTTTAAAATTTCATTGATTTCGAGATAACTGTTAAAACATATACTCACTTCTTGTTAAGTACTCAACAGAAATTGGTCGTCACCAACAGACTAGGAAAACACGATGTTAGTTGTAAGCTACTCAACGATCAGTAATTGTTAATATGTTTTAAGTGATATCGTATAAGGTCCTCAGCTGTTGATACTTTCGTGCTCTAAGCTAATACTCAATACTTTGAACGAGAATAATTTTATCTATTTTGTTTTCTCTCAACACATAGGTATTGGTACAAAGAGGCACCAAATACATATGCGCCACACAAATCTCATTCGATATGTATGAGGGCTGTGATACTGCCCGGGTGCCCAGACCGAAGCAGGTGGTTTTCTTAGGGGGCCGCTCCCCAGACTAACATCACGAAGGCGCCAAAGATGGCCCACATTGGCATAAGCCGCTCTGGCTTTCACTATACGTGCATTGATTTCATCACTCACGCCCCCACCTGCACTTATGCAGCTACCTAGGTACAGGAACTTCTCGACTACTTCTATCTGCTCACCATCCAGAGTGAGTACAGGATTAGAATCCTGCCAGTCTTGTAGAAGTACTTTGCACTTCGAAGGTGCAAAGCACATACCATACTTACGGACACTGATTGCCAACTGACTAAGTGCGGATTGGATGGCTTGGGCATTATCACACAGTAAGACAATATCATCCGCATACTCAAGGTCGAGAAGTCTTTCTCTAGTCAACAGATCCACACTGCCATTACTTACATCCATCAGAGCTGTTTCCAGAATGTCGTTGATGGCAAAGTTGAAGAGGAATGGTGAGATTGGGCAACCCTGTGTAACCCCACTGGTCAGTCAGTCAGTCAGTAACAACGTAGAACTTCGTACGTACGTACATCAGTTCGAGTTGCCACACCACATTAGCACAGAGATGCAGTGGTCGATTCAAATCCCGTAGTGGTAGAGGTAATAAGAGTATAAGCAGTAATCGGGTAGATTAGTGTTTGGAGATGTTACTTAAAGAGTATAATACAGTGAAATAAATTTGGGAAGAGAAAAAAAGAGACAAGGAGGAATAAGGAGATCAAAATTTGGGAGAACACAAAGAGTGGATGCACCTGCGCCATTGCAAACGATTTTGAGCCATGTCATTCAGGGTCTCTAACCATCGGTTGCTATCATCTCGCGGTCCCCAACCAGGTAGTCTACACCTACCGACATGACTCAGACAACTTGTCAATGACTTCATGGACTTGTGCCATGTTTTGGTCTGGCCGCCTGAGGTAAGTCATCTGGACCCAGTGATTTGAAGCTCCTCAAGAGTTGGAGTTCCTTGCGGAGTTCCGCCTCATTTGGCGGATCAATCGTCACCGGCCAGGACAGTCTGGCCGATGTTGCCAGCTGAACTGCCCTTCGAAGAATTCTACCCATCGTCCAAGACGTCGATGGATGTTAGTGATTGGCGTTCCGTCATCCTCGCAGATTGTTTCGCTCACACCAGGCTTCTTGCTGCCAGTGGCTCGGATGAGTTGGAAGAGCTCAAGGTAATTACCAGATGCAGGTGCTGCTTCCAGCTCATTAGCACGCTCCGACCACCAGGCCTCTCGGTCCTTACGCAAGCTTTGCCCGATTTCATTACGTAACAGTTGTTGTTTGTGGTCGCCCGGAGTAGATCGACGGGCTTCATTGAGTTGTAAGGAGCCCGAAGAAACCCAATGTTTATAAGCGGGACGTTTCGCGAAGCCGCAAGCGGCTTTACTCGCCATTTCCATGGCGTCACGCAATCAATGCTCATCTATACTTTTTGGTGGAATGGTAGCTAGCCTAGAGGCTAGCTCGGTTCGGTACTTACTAGCAACAGAAGTTGCAACCAGCTTGCTGACATCAATCCTTTGGTGGCGGTCACTTCGTTGGCCACTGAAAAGTAAGGTCAGATTGGTGCAGACCAAGGCATGATCAGAGTCCAGATAGGTACTACAAAGGAGTGGCAGTCTTGTACACAACCACGCCATCGGTAGCTGATCGCGATGTGATCAATCTGAGTCCAGGCTTGAGATGCAGAGGGAGGACGCCAGGTGGCACGTCGGCGATGACTGTGCCGAAAGTTAGTGCTAACCAGAAACAGGTTGTGGTTTGCACAAAATATTGATAGACGGTTCACGTTATCTGTCCTGCGACCAACAAGTCCCCATCGGCCACCTAAACGATTCTCTTCTGTGCCTAGACGCCCGACCTGATTATTCAAGTCTCCGGCTAGTACTACAATATCTGTCGAACGCATTTTCTGTAGAAGAACAGATAACTGGTGGTAGAATTCATCCTTAATTGCATCCGGGCTGCAATCTGTCGGGGCATAGGTGGAGATGACGAAAAGACATCGTTTCTCACACCGATTTCTTCTCACTTTGATGGAACTTTCTAATCTAACAGCATATAACCGACTGTTAATGGAGATCCGATCGTTTAGTGCTGCCTCAGCTCTAGCGCTTAGTGCGACACCAACGACAGCAAGATAAACGTACCTGGAATTCTGAGTTCTGGATGCATGCAGATTTGGTTTAGGAAGAACTATGTGTAGACTATATGTTTACTAGTCGGAAGCTTCTCTCATAAGTCAAGTACAGATGAAATAAATTGGATAAGTTGTTTTTCTTTCATTTTGACGAAAATACTGATTTTTAATCTTTTTAAAATATTTAGATTCTTCACTTATATCACGAACAATTGACTCTTAATTTGTCCGGTGTCAGCAGATTTACACTGGTTTTAATTTTGATGACTTAACTCATGAGTAGATATACAAACCGAATCCCATTTTGTTTTGTTCAGAAAGCTCTCTGAACTTCTTCAGAAAGCTAAACGTTCAGACATAGTACTCGTAGCAGGTGACTTTAATGCCCAGATAGGTAGTTTAAACCAAACAGAGAGGCATTTAGGTGGGTATTTTAGTATTCCGGCACAACGAACAGATAATGGTGATCGTCTGCTGCAACTGTGCTCAGACAATCGTTTATTTTTAGCAAACACAAATTTTAAGCATTAGGAGAGACATCGTCTAACATGGCGACCCCCTACACCAAACCAACGATGGACTCAAATAGACCATATTGCCATCAGTCATCGTTGGAGAGGGTCGGTAGAAGATTGTCGCTCATTCTGGAGTACCTGCTTGGACTCCGACCACGCCCTAATACGGGCACGCATCTGCTTGCGCCTCACTGGACGCAAAAAAGCCACATTAAAAAGACCCGTTAGAACTGAGTTGAGTAACGAGAAAACCAAAAGTAGGTTCCAGGAACAGCTGAGGTCACACTTAGGTAATTGTGAAGACGAGGCTGACCCAGATGCTGCTTGGAAAGACAAACAATCAGCTGTAGAAAGAGCAGTGACATCTATTAATGATTTAAACCACAGAGTTACGAAGAACCAATGGATTTCTTCAAGGTCTATCGCACTGATGGATTCTCGCAAACTTGTCCCATCAGGTTCTGAATACGATGAAGAGCGACAACAAATCAGGTCTAGGTTAAGCAACAGTCTAAGAAACGACCGTGAGCAGTGGTGGGCAATGAAAGCAAAAGAGATGGAAAAGGCGGCGACTATAGGGAACACAAGACAGCTTTACAGACTAATAAAAGAAACTGGAATTAATAAGTCAAGTGTAAGTGAGATTATATCGGAAAAAGACGATACTCTCATCTGCTCACAGTCCAGACGTTTAGAACGATGGGCGGAACATTTCAGAGAACAGTTCAACTGGCCTTCAGCTACTCTACAACTACCCTCCATTCCCAGACAGTGTGAATGGAACATTGAAGTAGGTCTCCCAACTCTTGCTGAGGTTCAAAAGACTATAGTTAATCTGAAACGAGGAAGGGCAGCTGGCCCAGATGGATTGGCTCCAGAGGTCTTTAAGGATGGTGGTTGACTAATATTTTAGCTAAGATCTGGGAGTTAGACGTTATCCCATCTAACTGGTCACAATCACTTATCGTCCCAATATATAAGAAAGGGTCAAAATCATCCTGTGACAACCACAGAGGGATTAGTTTAACTAATATATCTAAAATACTAGCCTCGATAATTATCAGACGCCTAACTAAGACTCGTGAACTGCAAACACGAGAGACTCAAGCTGGCTTCAGACCTGGTCGTGGCTGCATCGACCACATATTCACCATTCGTCAGATTCTAGAACACAGGCATACTTATCGGCGTCCGACAATGGTGGTCTTCCTTGACTTAAAAGCAGCATTAGACTCGGTAGACCGCAAGATTCTGTGGCAGTGTCTGCCAGTGAAAGGCGTACCTCAGAAGTGCATAAACCTTGTAAAGGCTCTTTACTCGAACACTACTAGTCGAGTCAGAGCTTATGGCGAACTGTCATATGCTTTTGCAACCTCAAGTGGTGTCCGTCAAGGCTGTCAACTATCTCCATTTTTGTTTAACTTCATCATAGACCTACTGATGGGAATAACATTCTCGTCGACTGAATTCTCGGGTATTGATCTCCTTTCAGGAGGTCCACTTATCGACTTAGAATACGCAGACGACATAGTCCTGTTTGGTGAAGACGCTGATAAAATGCAGAGTCTTTTGGTAGCACTAAGTAACAGTGCCAAAATGTTTGGAATGCGCTTCTCTCCCTCCAAATGCAAGTTGTTGCTTCAGGACTGGTTTGCGTCAACACCTGAATTAAGGATAGGGAGTGAAGTAGTTGAACGCGTTGACAACTTCATTTATCTTGGGAGTCTGATCAGCCCTAATGGGTCGGTGCCTGACGAAATCTCAGCACGGATTCGAAATGCTCGTTTGGCTTTTGCCAACTTACGTCACCTATGGCGAAGGCGAGATATCCGTCTAATTCAGTTGATGAGGTTGTGAATCTTCATCGACTGAGATGGTTGGGCCACGTGTTACGTATGCCTGAACACCGATTACCACGAAGTGCAATGCTAACCGATGTTGGAGATGGTTGGAAGAAAATTAGGAGCGGCCAAACCAAAACGTGGCATCAGTGCTTGAAGACACTAACCTATAGTCTGAGCCATGTTGGTAGATGCAGACTACTTGTTTGGGGTCCGCGTGACTATCGTAACCAATGGTTGGAGACTGTTGGTGACATGGCTCAGAATCGATCACAATGGAGTCGGTGTATACACTCTCTGTCTTCCCTTAAACTAAGAGATTAAAATCGCTTCATATCATTCTTTCTACGAACTAATTCTTTCTTTCTGTACTATATCCTTATTGCAATCTTTCTTTTATATATTACCACCATTGACTTAACCACTCCTGTGAATCCGGTGTTCATCTTGCTGTGCTATTGCGGTATGGCAACCTGGACCGATGCACATATGTGCCTGGTCCTACGTTGTAGCTGACTGACTGACTGACTGTTTTTACTAATCTCTTTGTCGCTATATATGTAAATTTTACATGTAGCGTAATTATGATTGACACTAAACATCAAACATTTGTGCGTATTTGTTTTCATTTTCATGACATGTTTGTTATATAAATCTAGCAACATGTTTATTAACGATTTAGTTACGTAACCACAATCTTTCGTGATTTTCGTAGATGAATGTGATTCCGATAAAGCTCCTGTTGTTGGCGATCTCGTTACAGATAGAGGTGTGGTTTTTATCAGGACAAATCAGAACCCTATCCGACAAAATTCTGCAAAGGGTAGGTGCCTTACGTTATTCTAATATATTGAGATTGCAAATCAAACTCACCCATGAAAAAGCATACGTCTTAAATTTTTCCCCCACCTATTCGACGTGGTTTATTTGTCGTTATCTACAAATCTGAAAGTAAGCATATATCTAAAGAAGTGTTTGTTCGATTAGTTGTACTATGTGGCGTGTTTAACGGTACAGTTTTATTGCTACTTCTGTTAAGATTTCAAAGAAGTAAGATATTTCCATTTCGTGGATGGAATTTTCATTTTCGACATCCCATCTTACTAATGATTTATTGTGTCCATCTTCTTTGAAGACTTTTGTGAAAAAAGTCCTTAGATTTGATTTTATTGGTCACCATATTCGCTGACAAATAGAGCCATTATTGAAGTATCAAAAATTATTTACGTTTCATTTAATACACATTATTCTTGCTTCAGTAGTATCAAATCGTCTCCATCGACTCAACATAGATTGGATAACGATGTACTAAACTTGTATAAATGAGAGTAAACATCTTTTTGCGTAAAATATCGTAGTAGATTGATGTTAACCGAAGCACTCTGTGAAAAACTTAAGGATCGAATATATTATTTTCACCATTATCTCAATTTGTGAAGAACTATTGACAAGCAGATAGGAATATATATGTTCCGAATTAATTTGAGACCCTTGATCATTGAGGACTCATAGCTCTATACAGATTGAACATAAGCGATGCATGAAGGTATCACAGTAAATACAGTACTTTCAAACTATTGAGTTGGCGTCCATTTCTCCTTATTTTCAGCTTCAAATGATCTACGGTTACAAGTGTAAATATAATTCAATTTTTTTGGTTGACTCTACGTGTCAATTTTTCACTAGAACTTCAAAAACTCAATCTCTAATAACTGCTCACTTGTAAGTGCGCGGTTGTTACTATTTTCTCATAACTAAAACTAGTCATTTGCATCTCTGTGCTAATGTTGTATGGCATCTCGAACTGATGTACGTACGTACGAAGTTCTACGTTGTTACTGACTTTCAGAAACAAAACTCTTCATGTGTCCTGTATGTCATAGTTGCTATACTTCTAAAAGATTTTTAAACATACACAATAAATTTGTTCACAAAGGTAAGCAGTCAGTCATGTTTTCACTTAATTGTAAATTTTTTTTTCTACTTCTCTTTCCTCATTTTATTCACTGGTTATAGAGTTGTATATTAAGTATTTTCCCATTTTGATATGACAAATGAAAGGCGCAATCCTACTTTTTATTGTGTTTGCTCAATGTTTAGTATTACAGACTCATGTATGGATGTTATGACCAATGATGAATGTTTACGTTTGGTGTATGTGAGGTAATGATTGTGCTTAACTTATTTTGAATCTTATTCAGTAAACGAAAGTTGTAGGTGTATACACTAATGCGATAGAGTTCTAACTATGCTCCAAGGTTTGCCAGATTTTCCTGTTACCTTCTGATGTGATTTAGAATTTATATCAGATACTCCATTCCATAAGCTTGAACTACTTCTTGACTGGATTTTCTTTGAGGTCTTATTCTTTTGTAAACAAGATGATTTAATTGTAAAATATTGGCTGTTTTGGTGGGTAACGTCAATTATTCTTCTGTGCAAGTTCTAATTGTAATGCTCACTTTACCCGTTTGTCTCTTGACATTTACTTCATATCAAGCAGAACACTTATGATTGTAACATACTACTGTGTAACCAGTGTTCAGAAAATTCACATTCCTTACAGAACCTGTTCACCGATCTGTGCTAGCTTCAGTTTTCATAACTATCCGTGTTATCTAAGTGTGTGCGTTTCATTGCCGTCTCCAACAAATCGAAAAAAAGTTTGATAATTTATTTCGATAGTAATGTTGATGGTAGGAGGTTCTGTTCTTTTTACTGTTCTTTTAAGCCGCCCATTCTTACAATTTATTTACTAAATCATTTTGACGTTCATAGCAATTAAATTGTCGCATGATTTACTCAACAAGGATCTTTCAATAGAAACTACTCGTCATCTCCATATTAAGACTGTTCATGAAGGTGAGTGGTGTTTCATTTCCTCATATGTTTGTTTCATGTATTGAGTCAATTTTGATTGTTCATTGTTGTTTTTGTCTGAAGATTAATGTTTCTGTCTGTCTATATTTATTCTGTTGATTATTTATTGGTGAAGGATATATTATAGGGTTATTTTACTGCTAAGGAAAACACAAGAATACTCAAATTTTATCAACAATGCTGAAATCCCTCCAGAAACTATAACTAATCGCACGTTTCTTCTAATTCAATTTTTCTCATTACCTTTGCCTTTTTCTTATTGGTTGTCATTACTTTTAGTTCGGTAAATTTTTGTATTTCATGGAAATCGTGAACTAACCAATGTTTGATCACCACTGAAAACCTGGAAGCACTGAACGGCTGTTTCGTCCTGGTATGGGACTCCTCAAGAGTGCGCATCCACGATTCCGCACGCGGGATATAAACCCAGAACACTCGGTCTCGCACGTGGACGCCTAACTTCTAAACCACTGAGCCGTCGTCCGACGGTGTCACTATTAAGCTTCACTCAATTCGCGATGTCTCGCGACCATTTTCGATTGTCTTCGGTGAGCAACTGTCTTTCACCCGACACGGATTTGACTCCACTAGTCACAGCTTCTTAACTAGAACTCGGAGGATTTCCTCTCGAAACTAGGCACTTTTGCGTACATGATACTTCCCAGTTGGGGCGCGCACAAGGCCGGGGATGCTGGGTTTGAATCTTGCGCACGGGATCGTGGATGCGCACGCATGAGGAGTAACATACTAGGATGAAACGACCGTCCAGTGCTTACAGGTTTTCAATGGTGGTCAAACATTAATCGGTCCATGATTTCACTGAAATTCAACAATCTCGACAACCCCAAACTGAAGATTGTTATATGCTTGAAGGTCATGTTTTGTCACTATAGGTACAGAGTTATGCCGACTCATTTTGTTCGGCTTGTCCTACTTCGAATATCAAGTTCTACACAATTCATCTGATTCCTGTGTCAGCCATCGGGTGTTAGTTAATGTTTTGTGTAAATTGCTGTTGTCGATCTCGAAAAGAACCGATCTTATTAAATGGACCCAGTCGTTGTCACTTGATCAGTAAGTACCATAGGCCCGTATTGAACCCCAAAAATTAAATACAACACTTAAAATATTGAGTAAATAAAATTTTTGAACAATAGTCTTCTGCGTTATTACGTCTGTAACTTCATGAGAATTCTTATGTTTGCTTTTGTAAATATGAACTAATGTCATGCACCATTTCTGTTGAAAATAGTAAAATTAGCTTCTTAATATGTGATATTTAGTTGCAAATGTCATTCAAATAATTTTAATACTTATTTCGTGGTACTGTGGTGGTTTCGGGTTCCTATTTTAATTCCTTTTCGGAGTTTTTAACGTTGAACGCAATTGAAAATACGAAAATCCAAGTCATTAGTCTTCTTTTAGTAAATTTTCACTAGTTCTCGCCTTATCATTGTATGTTCGCTTCATGAATGTGCTCCATCATCTTTGATTTGTTCTCAGTATATTGCTACTCGGAATATTTCCTCCATAAAATGTCAGATAATTAAGAATCATCTCGCTTATTTCATGTTTATTGAGCTTATTCATCGAGTGAGTGGTGAGTAAACTTGTTTTAATGATTTAATGAGAAACTCAAATTACCGAATGATTTAAATAAATACAACTCCAAAAGGCAGACGGTTATACTGAAACAACGCACGATGAGTATTGATAGTAAGCAGCTCTCTTGATGCTTCATCTACCTCCACTTGCAAATAAGCATTAGCTAGATCCAGTTTTGCGAAAAACTTTCACACACTCAGCATAGTAACACAGATCTGCGGGAACTGGCAAAGGATAATGATGCTGTTCCAGAGCTGCATTGAGACCTGTAGAAAAGTCAGCACATATACGTATCGTGCCGTTGGCCTTCTTGATAACAACTATAGGTGCTGCCCAAGCAGAGTAAGAAACAGGCGTAACAACTCCTTGTTGTTGAAGGCGATTCGATTCTTCATCCACTGTTGGTAATGTTGCATAAGGCATGGGTCTCTTTGGACGGAAAACAGGCTTAGCCCCAGGTTTCAACCGAAGCGTTGCTTTCATGGCAGAACACCGACCCAATCCAGGTTGGAAAATAGATGAAAGCTGCGTCATTAGCTTCTTCGTATATGCTTCAGGGTCATGTGGATGTTATACCAGGAAGCATATTGGTATTTAACTGGACATCAGCTAAGTTTAGCTGGTCGAACCAATCTAAACCAAGTAAATTTAGATCAGCTGGCGTTATATAACATACCCCAGTAAACGACCAATCTCGGAAAGTAACTCTACATTCCAATTGTCCTAACAAGTGAAGGTAATTACCATATGCAGTACAAGGCTTTTGTGTTGCAAGTAGAAGTAGATGAAGCATCAAGAGAGCTGCTTACTATCAATACTCATCGTGGGCTGTTTTAGTATAACCATCTGCTTTTTGCAGTCAAGACTGCCCCATCTATCTTTCAGCAACTAATGGATACCATCCTATCAGGTATCTCGGGCGCCGTGGCTTAGTTCGATGATATTTTAATTGTTGCGACGACATTAGAACAGCTACAGAACGCACGACATTGTTACTGCTACGCATCAGTGTCAACGGGTTCCGGTTACGTCAGGAGAAATGCCAGTTTTTATTGCAGTCAATAAACTATTTGGGGTTTATTTTTGACGCTGACGGCCGCAGACTAGATCCTGAGAACACTCGAGCTATCAAACTGATGCCCACTCCCACTAATGTCTAGGCACTGCGTTCCTTTATGGGACTTGTTACCTATTATTCAGCGTTCGTTCCTTTGATACATGATATTCACGCTCCATTGAATCGTCTGCTGACGAAGAACAGCACTTGGAACTGGACTAATGAGTGGGATGCGGCGTTTTGTAAACTCAAGTCTATAATTAGTTCGGAATTGTTGTTAATGCACTACGATCCATCCATGCCGATCATTATAGATACAGACGCTTCAGCGTATGGCCTAGGTGCTGTTATTTCACATCAGTTTCCAGACGCGTCAGAAAAAGCTGTTATGCATGCATCCCGTACACTAACCCCAGCAGAAAAAAAATACAGCCAGAGAGAAAAAAAGGCTCTTTCACTTGTGTTTGCTGTTCGACGTCTCCACAAGTTTCTGTACGGTCGGAGGTTTACGCTTCTCACAGGTCACAAGCCTCTGCCCGCAATATTCGGTCGAAATCGGGCATTTCAGCCCATTCTACAAATCGTCTTCAGCGATGGGCCTTGGTACTTTCGGGGTATGATTTCAAGATCCAATACCGACGCACTCAACAATTCGGTCAGACACATGCTCTATCACGACTCATTAATCATCATTTGGCGGCTGAGGAAAACATGGTGATCGCATCTCTATCAGCGGTAGACCACCCGGAATGTTATCTAACAACCACAATATGGGCATTGCCGGTGTCTGCAATAGACACACGAAACGCTTCCAGGAACGACCCGATCATCAAGATGGCGATGAGCTATGTCACCAACGGTTGGTCGTCTAAGAAGTTTGATGGTGACATGAAACAACTTTATCAGTGGCGGGATTCACTATGCATTGTAAACGACTGCTTGATTTTTGGAGAAAGAGTGGTTGTGCCAGAGTCCCTTAGCGCAAAAGTGCTGAAACGGTTCCACTTTGGTCACTCGGGGGTTAAACGAATGAAATCCATAGCCAGGAGTTATGCATACTGGCCCCTAATGGATCAACATATCACTGAGTTGATTGGAAAATGCATTCGGTGTCAGCGAGCGGCAAAAGTGAATGCCAAAGTTCCGCCAGTTTCATGACCACAACCTGATCATCCTTGGTCCAGGATACACGTCGACTTAATGGAACTATGCCTTTAGTTGTGGTTGATGCCCTTTCAAAATGTCTAGAAATCCGCCTTGTAATGCCGCCCACAACTAAAACAATACAGCCCCTTACTGAAACTTTCTCCCGAAATGGCATACCAGATGTAATTGTATCTGACAACGGGTCGCAATTTACCTCTAGCTAATTCCAAGCTTTCTGTCAACGGCTAGTCATCAAGCACTTACACTCGCCACCATACCACCCGCAGTCGAATGGCAAGTGGAAAGGTTTGTGGATGCGTTTAAAAGAGCATCGGTTAGGTCGAAGGGGAAGGAAACACCAGCTGACGCGTTGCGAAATTTCTTGTTCGTTTATCGAAAACCACCAAATGAGACGGTACGGGAGCGAAAATCCCCAGCAGAAATCCTGATGGGAAGAAGACTGATAACGATCCACGGCCCGATGTATCCGAGTAATGTATCAACACCAGTACAGAAAAAGTCTGAAAAGCAATCCACATACGAAGTGGGATGTCCTGTGTTTGCCCGTGACTACAGAACAACCCATGGTCCATGGACAGAAGCGCGAGTAGTCAGAAGAATAGGCCGTGTCATGTACGAAGTAGAGGTAGGAGGCGATAGATGGTCACACCATTGGAATCAGATACTCAAACGGTTATCTCCAGACCGCCCATGAACATCCTGCTTGATACCTTCAACTTACTGATAGCCCCACCACGAGAGAAAGCCCAATTACAAGCTGATCTCCGCTCCAGAAGTTGGCCTCTCCGACAGCGGTGAACAGCAGTCAAGATGCAAGTTGACCCCAGAAAAGTACGCTATTGAAAAGGGGGGGTGTGTTGAGGACGTTAGATCCCCAGAATTCACTTGGAAAAGGTCCTAATTTTGTAATTTTATTCTGAAAATTTGAATTTCATGTTTTCGCTCCAAGAGACTCTTAGTTGACCTACAGCTTACATTTCCCACTCGGAAATCCTTGACTGTCATTGGTTGACGGATTTTTTTAGTACGCTGTTTTGTGGCTTTCCCAAAGGCGTTTCTATCACTTCATAAATAAACTTGATTTGTGTGCTTAGGACCTCATATTTTCTGGGTGCTTGTAGAATGCATTCTCTACGCCTCATCAAGACTTCTTGATCTAGTTAGCAGGGTCGGGAACAATGGATTAGTATAGCTTATCGTGTCACTGTATCTTTGACCTTCGTTTCGCTTACCAATTAAGGTGAACTCGTAATAACATTCAAGCATATCAGTGAATTTCGTTCAAACACACAATATTTACTTGTGAATACAGATAGATTACAATGTAAAGACACGATTAGAAATTGGTGAGTTATCATTTCAGTTGTTCAGATTCTAGTGACTAATGTCACTGAGTACTCTATTTTAATAATTGATTTAATGTAGCGTATTCATCATGTGCAGAAACAAAAACTGTAATGAATTATCATTCGAAGGAATGCTCACAGTGATGTAATATTTCTTGTTGGATCCACTTTTTGAATGGCTTAAATATTTCCTCGATCGAAGCAGTGGCCCTGTTAATCGAACATAAATTACTTGATTGAATGTATGAGAAGTTGGCGCTTTTCTAGGTGTAGCAGTATCCGATGTTCTCTATTTTTTAAAAATCACTGAAATTCGTTCTCTCAAATCAATTTCCGACCTTTCCATTATGTTTATATCATCTAGGTTTGTTGCAGCTCCACTGATATCTGATGTAATCTCACAACTGGCACTTCAATTACTGTTTTTTTTAATGTGTTAGAGTGTCCCTGAGAATCCTCTAATTGTGATACTAGTTCTTTGAAGCCTGACTCAATGATACTCGCACAGTTTAAAAATCTGAACAGGCTATTAATAAAAAATCATTTTTTGATTGATAGAAATATTAAGAAATAATACATTTACCAATACGCTATTGTCTCTTGAATTTCATTTCATCAGAACTTTTACTGGTCGAATTGTAAAGATTTTACTTAATGTTGTTTTCTAAATTTCGAAACATGTATTGAAAAAGTTAGAACCTTTGAAACTATATTTCAGACTATTTTGTTTATACTTTTACTGTATAATTAGTGAATAACTGAACTAACATATTTCCACATTCTGTTTATTGTAATCTTCTGTTTGAGTCATTAACTATTACTAAATGTCTTATTATTTCCGATTTGTTACAGACCAGTTATTTAAAGCACCCCGCGTTTCGCTGACATTTTTGACCTGTTTGTGTATATCTGTAATTTTTTGTCTTATGGTGCGATGTCTGGTATCTCATGAGTGCTATGGCTAAAATCTGCGATGGATGGTTGAAATAAGATAATAGTAGGAGCTTGATTGTAGTCTTCTCTTTTTAACTCAAGGCTAGGAATAGAAGACGGCATATTTGTCGGGCAAGCACTCGGGGCAGAAATTATTTTAGCTCACGATTAATTGTGTCGATCAGAACTTATCATTGGCTAAGACTGAGCGCGCTAGACTATGGGTGGAATAGCATACTCAGAGTAGAAAAGGATTATGACCGAAGTTCTGATTGGCGAACTCAAAAAGTTTTATTAGTTAGTTTCGCAGACATAGCAGTAACCGACATAACATTCATCTTCAGAGTAAGAGAGGTCTCTAGTCCGGCTTGATGTTTCGATGCATCATGCAATTTCTCGTCTTCCTTTCTTAACTATGGGAAGACGTTATTACATAAGTCATGACGATGGCTACTTGCTATTTTTAGGTTGAATCAACTGGCATCAGTGACTTAATGTGGTTAAGTTGACTCTCAAAATCGGTGTGAACACGCGACCACGGCGTCTGTGGTTGTATCTTTGGTTGTGAAGTCAGTTCTGAAGTATGCTTCCCAGCTCGATAAGATCGGCTGCAGTGTCTGGCTTAATTCATGATCTTTTGGTCTATTCTGATCCGTTTACTTATCGTTATGCTATCACCTTGATGAACCTTCATTCGATTGGGAAACGTTAGCCGTGAATCAATAACGGACAAACCGTGTTTTTGTTGTTAAAGGTTATGTCATTCACCGTTGTGTGGTTTTGTTTGCTATCTATGGTTTATGTATTTTATAACTTATTGTCATGTCAAGTCTTGTCGCGCTTTTATTATATGCAGTCTTGATTATTGTAGCACGAAACACGTTTGTTAGGTAGCTTCGAATGTGTACTCTAAAAAAGTGACAAATAGTACGCTTGGAGGAAACCCTATGTATATTGTGATCCATCAAACAGGTAGTGTACCTTTGTAACTGGCTTACTGAATGTTGAGAAATTCGTTTTTTGAAGCCAAAAATGGCTAGTTCGGACTTTGTGACTTCCGAACATACAAAAATATCTACCACATACTATTTTATGAACCTTTCTGATCAAAAACATGTTATTTAGTGCTTCGTTTTCTATCTGTTTATAGTTCTTGTTTTCGAGTGTTATTATTCATGTCGTATGTGTGTCTGTACCAGTGTTTTTAAAATTACAATAACATAGATACCATGCTGATATAAGATTTGGTCACTTTACATGATCACAGATACGAAGTTCGTGCTTCAATTTTGTTATCCTCTATGTATCAACTTGATTAGCTAATCTATCACAAAATAAGTTTTCATAATGCTTGAACTAGGAATCAAAAGTAGTTATGCGGATCAAGATAAGAACTGCAATACATCATAATTGATTTGTTGGTTACTCAATTCAGGGTGCATTAGAGCTATATTAAATTTATATAAGTACATTTATCGATAACAACAATAATAATGATTTTTTTTTATTAGGAATAAGATATCCATGTGTTCAATGTGATAAAACGTTTACAAGGAAATCTCATCTAAATAAACATGTGAAATCTATTCATGAAAGTGAGTTATGATGGTGATAATGATCTTTGACTTGCATATATATATATACTAACACTAGACTGGGTAATATACTGCTCACTGGTCGGATACACTGCATGATTAAATTATTCGTTCAGATGACGTAATACATAGACTACATGTTATCCGACTGAACGATTAAGAGCCGAATTATAGGCCAGAAAAATTATTCATTCACTCGAATTACAAACTGTCATTGCTTGAAATCCAAGTAGACATCTTAAGTGGATAAGTTTTAGAAGTGGAACATTCTTTTGTTACGTCTACTTGTTATTTGTCTGCGCTCACTGGCCAATGATTTGTTACTGCTGTCACTTGACAAATTTAACATATTTATAATATCCCATAGAGTATAAAACTGAGTGTTTGACGCTTCGTGACTTGGTGTTGGTTGCTTCGTCATTTAACTGATAACCGAAACAGGTCAGCTGAGGTTTATATAGTACAGTGAAATAAATTAAACATTTAATACTAACATAGATGTCTCTACTGATTTTACGTCATTCAGGAGAAAATTGATCCTAATTAAGACGTATTTGAACGCATTCTTGTGTGAGTGATTGTGAGATATGTCGTATTTGCATTGTGGTCTGTTCAATTTGATGTGCTCATGTTCAATAATGTAAGATTTCAACAAGTAAAATGGAGTTCTTTAGATAGATAGTTCAAGTTGCATGGATGATTGGCGCTTCTTTTCTACTGATCACAGTTGTGTTTGGCAATATGCGAAAAGGTTCAGCTAATGACTTTTGTTTATAGTTAGAAAACCGTTTTTGAATTATCTTTGTATTTGTAATATTGATGTTATTGGTCGTTAAAAATATCATGTGATCGTACGGGTGTTCGTGATTTTAGTTGTGCTGGGTTTTAAGTTCTTTTTGTTCTCTTAGAATGTAATCGTAAAGTTTTTAAACAAAGAATTGCCGATAATGCGAAAACTGAAATGCTTATTGGTTTATAATTTTATGATTATTGAATTAGTTCGTGGATATCTGAACTTTGTAGCTCAGTGAATAACTCGTCATTGTTTGGAGCGAAAGTTACTGTCTTCAAGTTTAAGTGTGAACATCAACAATGAAATATAAGCATATCCAACTGATGAGTCCCACATAGGACGAAGTTCACTACCTGATTTCCACTGTTATCTATTATCCAACTTGATTAAATACTTGTAACGGAAAAAATTATCGAAAGAATTCGTTGCGAATGCGTTTATGACAACGGAAAATTTACCAAGTAAAGTACTTGATTTTAACGAGAAAACTAATACTCATAAATATCTAGCACCTACGTCACCTTAGCTATTGATTAATTCATAATAGTGTTGTTTATTTCTTGTCAGGATTGAAATATGTGTGTAATCAGTGTAGTGGAGAGTTTACATCTAAATTTTATTTAATTGAACATATGAAAGTGATCCATGAGGTCGAGTTATGCTAATGATAATGGTATTTCACTACTTAGTTGTATGCTGTATACGTTTTATCATGTCACATTCAATGTCTAATTTAAAATTAAGTCATTTTCGACATTTCGTAAACTTTTAATAAAATGTTGTGGTCTTAGACAGGGTTGCCCAATTTCACCACTCCTCTCTAACTTTTTCATCTATGATATTCTGAAAATGCCTCTAAAGGGACTAAGTAATGATCTAGATGATCTATTTCCGGTCTTAAGCATGCGGATGACCATCTTCTTACTGTGTAATTATAAAAAGCCGAAGTATATCTCTTTTAATCGGTTGGTAATCAGTGTATTTAGGTGTGACATATACTTTACACCTTCTAAATGCAAAATATTTCTGAAGACTAACTGGAGGTTGTGCGTGGCCTCACTCTTTGTGGTGAGGCATTGGAAATAGTGAATAGGTTTTTGTATCTGTGTACTTCTGTGAATACTGTTGGTGCCGTGGTAAGAGGAGATAAATTTGCTCATAGGGAAAGCCAGAGTGATGAATATCAATATGACCCATCTTTAGCACCGTCGTGTTGATTTGGCTGTAAAAGAATGTTGTTTACATCGTGTCGGTGAAAGCAGTCTTACGCATGGTTATATACTGTGACCTCATCAAGCTGAGGTTGGATAACTCTTTAAGGCAGTAAAGCAGCGTTACAACCTCGTCTATCGCGAGAACGAGTGACTTCATTATGTTCATGCACCATTGATTGTTCTAAGATTCTAGTGCCGATTTGTGCCCCTAGTTTGAAATGATAGTGTTTCTGTTGCCTCAGATAAACTGTTTGTATCTGTCGGCTCGGTTTCACCGTCGGACATTTAGTATCTTCCGTTAATAAAAGCACTACCGACGTATGAAGATCGCTCTGCAGTTGTCGAGGTTGAGTCACTTTATTATTCAAGTTGCTTGGAGGTAGTGGGTGTCGGGATACCAGCTTAGCTTTCACTCAAAGTATTCTACCCACTGGTCTAATTTGGATAGAATAAATAATTTATCTATTTGTTTCCGAAATAGCTTCAGTAACAACTTGGTTTTTTATTCTTGTTTCCTTGATTAGTTGTAATAACTGTCTCTTGTTGTTTGTCGTCGCCAAAATCCAGTGGTTGTTAGTGAATATGTGATTCAAGTTGCTTGCCGATGGCGACGATTGTCATATTTACTAGTGTTTGAAAAAAACCCGAACTTCTTCAAAACAGACTTTTCTATCACTAACCAAACCGGAAGATATGTTGATATATAAATAGTTGCCAGTGTCCCCTGAAGTTTACCATTCAGAATATGAGTTTTAGAGCTCTTGATTCGACCATACAACATTTTATGAAACATTTTTATTGCGAATGCATTAGCCAATGCTTCCTTCTCTACTCGCTCATAGTTTTTCTTAGCGGTCTTTATTTCTCGATCTGCGCACATTATGCTTTATTTGGGTCTGTTCCCTACATAATAAGTATAACTTCAAGTTTACTCATAATTTTTCTGTTGTGAAATTGACATGCTTATTTAAACTTGTTGGTGAGTTCATAAGTATTCCTTGGAAAAGTCTATAGGGGTCTAGAAAGCTCTTGGAAACACTATCCGAGTAGAAGCTCAGAAATATCTAAAAAGTAAAGTCACGTTTCTGCTTGGATATTTGAATTTACTGCTACTACATACAACATGGCTCCAAAGATTTCCAGAAGCACCCAAGGTTTTGTGTATCTCTATAATTAACATCGTTTTTCAGTACATAAACTAACCTTAGACGGAAGCGTTCTTTTCTCATGTTGCACCTTTTCTCTTGTCGATTTGCCTTGTAGATTTAGTTTAGAGTTATTAGAAGCGGCTAGAAAGTCGAAATTAGTGTTCATCTACCAAACTTATCAGAATTACATTTGTATTGTTGTATGCCATTACTAAATAACTTCAGATTATCATATTAAATTCGCTTTTAAAACATTTACTAGTGTTAAATAATTGTTTTTTCTTCTGATTATTATTAGGAAAAAACTATCCATGTTATCAGTGTGATAAACAATTTACATCTAGATGCAGTTTAAATATGCCTGTAAAAGTTACTCATAAACGTAAGTTTTGGTGGTGGATAATGATTTGCACTACTATGAAACTGATTTACTGTATATATTCTCATTATTTCATATTGAATCACATTATTTTACATGTAAATAAACATTAAATTTCACGACCACTGCGCTAGGATCCAACGTTGTTAATGTCTAACTTCAACCAATCAATGGTATTGCGCGACTATTTTCCATTGTCTTTGGTAGATTATGCAATATCGTAGATTGATTGAAGTTATTCATTAACACCGTTGGATCCCAGCTCAGTGGTCTTAAAGGTTATTCGTTCGTACGAGACCGAAGGTCTTGGGTCTGAGTCCCGCGTGTGGGGTCGTGGATGCACACCGTTGAGGAGTCCCACACTGGGATGAAACGGCCGTCCAGTGCTTCCAGGTTTTCAGTGGTGGCCTGGAATTGATCGGTTCATGATCTCAATAAAAATCCAACAGTTTCCACAACCTTATACTCATAATTAAATTTCACGTTTACTTTTATAAAAATCCAAATGCTTTATACAATTTTATTTCTTTGTTAACTATGAAGTAGCGATTTTCGTGTGTAAAACACTCAAATTTGGAATCATTTTTCTTGTTCACAATTAATGTACCATGGTAAAGTGTTGAGTGATATATGTTATCATAGGATACGGGACTTCTAGCTTTCATAGTGTAAACGATATCATACAATTTTCTTGTCAGGTTTACCCGTGGTTTAATTTAAATATCACAAGTGCTGACAAATCGTGAAGTATTAGTTGTTTTTGTTAGTGAGCCCTCATTTATCAAACCCCTTTTTGACTAAACACTGAATTAAGGTGTTTTCTGATTTTGGTTAATTGTTTTATTTAAAATACATTATTATTATTATCATGACCTATGAAGTGATTAATTGTTGATATTTTTACCTTTATTAATTGTGACAACTGGTATCAATAAGGATTTATGAAATTTATACATGTGTATATATGCTGCATTTAATCTGTAGACATTTTTAAGTTGTTCGGTCGATATCAGAGACTGTTGAATAGTGATTACTGTGCTAGTTTCTCAGCAGCTTCATTGTAGAACAATTATGCGATATATGCTGTGTATATGTAGCATATTTTTTTATATAGTGACAATCTATAATCATTTATCAAATGGTTTGTTTTCGTGTTTTATAAATTCTTATTATTTCTTTCACTAGGTTCGAAATTTACTTGTAATGTGTGTAACAAAGAGTTTGCTTTTAAAGGAAATCTAAATAGACATCACAAGAGTATTCATGAAGGTTAGTTTTTATGTAATTTTTTTTCGTGTTCACCTTGCGTACATATGTATTAATGTTGGTCCTATTCGAAGGTTTCATTAAATAATAGAGAATCCTGGAAACAATTTTCTTTTGGAAGCAACTGCATGATAAAACCATTTCATTTAAGTGAATAATGTGTCAAAGTACACTGTAAAAGATGAATTTTATTAGTGTCTGAATGAAAAGTAGGTATGACAATGAATGGTGAGATTGTACATAAATCATCCTTGACAATTGATAAGTCTTCTAAGTGAACTCTTGCATCAGTTTCCTAAGCTTTTCTAATAACCTCGGGTTCGAAAAGGAGAGAAGTGTGCAAAAACACTGTACTCCGAGGTTAGTTTATGTACAGACAATCGAGGATGTTTATAGTATTTCAGACGATCTTGGGCTTCTGGAAGGTCCTGAAACCTTACTAAACATGGTAACAGGATAGGTAATCGTTCAATCAGGAATGTAAAACGTGACTTCTCACTTTCTACATGTTTTTTAGTAACTTCAGTTCAACGCTGATTGGGTAAAATGTTTTCCAGTGTTTTTAATGCCCATCTGGACTTTTTTCAATGAATAATTAAGATCGTTCCAACAACAATATAATTTTCATACGTTTTAGATCTTAGGGTTTCCAATCATAGTCTCCTGTTGTTAATGTTCAACATTTTTGTATGGTTAAACAGATGTAATATAGTGTATGAAAGTGATCAGTGTTAGTTGTTTTCTATTTATCCTTTTGATTCGTGAAATAGATATTGAAGCTTTTGTTGTATTGTCAAAGTACTTCATTATGATTGTCTTCATCCCTTATATAATACTCATTGAATTAAGGTCTACTTGAGTGGTTCTAGTTTTCCATATAGTCTTTTATTCAGATAATATTTTTCTTAAAAACAATGTAATCCACTCATATATAACCTAAAATAATACTGGTATTGAATTTATACAAATACGTTGAATATCAACTCCGGCTGGAGTCCCTCCGGGGGCTACTGCCGGTCCCAAGCCTAGATAAAGGAGGAAGGTTGGGCATATGGTTAGCGACCCCATCCCGTAGAAAACTAACTCGCTAAGAAAACGCTAACCAGAAAAAATTATTCAAACCTTTTAAACTCTGCCCTGGGAGTCAGAAGGTCTTCATTTAGAAGAACTATGACGCCTAATGATGAAAGCCGAATTCCTTCGGAAGTTACGAGGCCGATGCCCCTTCTGACAACCAGAGCAACCATTTACTTAGGTACATGGAATGTTCGTACAATGTGGGACACCGGGAGAGCCTTCCAAATCGCTGCAGAAATGAGGAGTTACAACCTAGAGGTGCTTGGGATCAGTGAAACACATTGGACGCGACTTGGACAACAACGACTAACTTCAGGAGAGCTCCTGTTATACTCCGGCCATGGAGAAGAAAATGCTCCACATACACAAGGAGTTGCATTGATGCTCTCCAAACGAGCACAAAACGCACTTATAAGATGAGAATCTCATAGACCAAGGATCATCAAAGCCTACTTTAAAACAAAGAAAGAGGGCATTTCAATGAACATCATCCAATGCTATGAGCCTACCAACGACTACAATGAAGACGCTAAAAATCAGTTCTACGATAGGCTGCAGTCAATCGTTGAGAAGTGCCCAACAAAGGACCTGACTATTCTGATGGGAGATTTCAATGCCAAGGTTGGAACGGACAACACTGGATATGAAGACATCATGGGACGACACGGACTGGGAGACAGAAACGAAAATGGTGAGAGATTTGCAAACCTATGTGCCTTCAATAAACTGGTCATAGGCGGCACCATATTCCCACATAAGCGCATGCACAAAGCCACATGGACTTCACTGGATCACACCACGCAAAACCAAATCGACCATATCTGCATCAACAAAAAGTTCAGGAGGAAGATGGAGGATGTGAGAACCAAGAGAGGAGCTGATATAGCATCAGATCATCACTTGCTGGTCGCCAAGATGAAATTGAAACTCAAGAAACACTGGACAACGGGGCGGACAATATCACAAAAGTTCAATACAGCCTTTCTTCAGGATACTAACAAACTCAACAAATTCAAGATAATCCTCAGCAGCAAGTCCCAGGCCTTTCATGATCTACTCAATGGAGAAGGAACTACTGTGGAGAGCAACTAGAAGGGGATCAAAGAAGCAATCACTTCAACATGTCATGAGGTCCTGGGTCACAAGAAGCACCATCACAAGGAATGGATCACTGTTGATACACTGGATAAGATTCAAGAAAGAAGGAACAAGAAGGCAGTTGAACAAGAGCAGAAAAAGCCAAGGCACAAGCTGAATACACAGAAGTTAACAAACAAGTGAAGAGGAACATCAGAACCGACAAACGTAAATATGTGGAAGATTTAGCAACGACGGCGGAAAAGGCTGCAAGAGAAGGAAACATGAGACAATTGTATGACACGACAAAGAAACTCTCTGGAAATCGCCGCAAACCAGAACGGCCAATGAAAAGCAAAGAAGGCAAGGTAATCACCAACATTGAAGAGCAACAAAACAAGTGGGTAGAGCACTTCAAAGAACTCTTGAATCGACCAGCCCCACTGAACCCACCCAATATCGAAGCAGCACTCCCAATCAATGTTGGCCCACCAACAATTGAAGAAATCAGCATGGCCATCAGACAAATCGAGAGTGGCAAAGCAGCAGGACCAAACAACATTCCAGCAGAGGCACTGAAAGCAGACGTAGCGGCAAGCGCAAGGATACTCCACATTCTCTTCAATAAGATTTGGGATGAGGAACAAGTACCAACAGACTGGAAAGAAGGACTTCTGATCAAAATACCAAAGAAAGGCTATCTCAGCGAGTGTGATAACTACAGGGGCATCACTCTTCTCTCAATACCGGGTAAAGTCTTCAACAGGGTATTGCTAAACAGGATGAAAGACTGCGTAGACGCCCAACTTCGTGACCAACAGGCAGGATTCCGTAAGCATAGATCGTGTACAGACCAAATGGCAACACTATGAATCATTGTGGAACAATCAATTGAATGGAATTCATCGCTCTACATCAACTTCATTGACTACGATAAAGCATTTGATAGCGTGGACAGAACAACGCAATTGAAACTTCTTCGACACTACGGCGTGCCTCAGAAGATAGTCAATATCATACAGAACTCATATGATGGATTACACTGCAAAATTGTGCATGGAGGACAGTTGACAAAGTCGTTCGAAGTAAACACATGTGTCAGGCAAGGTTGCTTACTCTCACCCTTCCTCTTTCTCCTGGTGATCGACTGGATCGTGAAGACGTCAACGTCTGAAGGGAAGCGCGGGATACAATGGACATCTAAGATGCAGTTAGACGATCTAGACTTCGCAGATGATCTGGCCCTTCTATCCCAAACGCAACAACAAATGCAGGAGAAGACGAACTGTGTAGCAGCAGCCTGAGCAGCAGTAGGTCTCAATATACACAAAGGGAAAAGCAAGATTATACGATACAACACAGCATGCACCAATCCAGTCACAATTGACGGAGAAGATTTGGAAGATGTAAAATCAGGAAGAAGTGCTGGAAGTGGATAGGACACACATTGAGGAAAGCACCTAACTGCGTCACAAGACAAGCCCTCACATGGAATCTTGAAGGCTAAATGAGAAGTGGAAGACCAAAGAACACATTACGCCGGGAAATGAAAATAGACATGAGAGAAATAAATAAGAATTGAATGGAACTAGAAAAGAAGGCCCAGGACAGAGTGGGTTGGAGAATGCTGGTCAGCGGCCTATGCTCCATTGGAAGTAACAGGCGAAAGTAAGTAAGTAAGTACGTTGAATATTGCTAGTAGTTATCACACTGTTTTTTTCTTCATCATCAGGAATGAGATATACATGTAATCACTGTGATCGAAAGTTTAAAACAAACTCTGATTTAAATGAACATGTAAAAGTTATTCATGAAGGTGAGTTATGATGTTCTCACTTTACATTTAAAACGTTTTCACATTTTCTTTCTACTTAAACGTATGACAATTTTCATCGATTTCATTAATTAATAAGTAATGAAATGGTGTTTTATAGTATAAAATATAAGATTTCCAAACATTTTTTGGTGAAACTATAATTTATGGACAACCTTTGAGCGACATTAAAGTGACCTTGAGAGTGTCTATCTACTTACTAGGGCTAAATGAGGGTTATAAAGCAGTTTAAAGAATAAGGATTATAATTTACAGTTGATGGTTAGAGTTAGGACTTAGATTTAGGGTTATCATCACGAACTGATATAGGCTACAATGACAAGACACTATTTAGCCAAATAGGTGAATGAATTTCGCGCCAAAATCTCAGACGTGTTATCGTAGATCTGATTGGTTCGTTCATAAATTATAGTCTCGCCCATTTTTCTATCATTCACAATTTCATGTATTAGATTTATCGTGTCAAATAAATTGCGTTATATTAAGATAAGGGAATTTTAGTTTTCGTGATGAGGACGGTATTTGTTAAATATTGAATGTAAGAACCATTGGTTGATATTTCAAATTTTAGTACAATTGTAATATTGCACGATAATCATTCACAAACTGTTTCAATTTTGATATAATACAAAATTTCTGGTTATTATTTCTTACTGAAAAGTTAAGAAATTACCTCATACAATAACTTAGTGAATTCAAGTTATTGTGATATGACACCCTAAAAGTTTACATTTTTTTCAGGTTTTTATTGATTGATGATTATGCGACCTTATTTTCAGATTGTAGAGTTTGTGTCAGAAATTGTGGAATACAAGTTATTTCATTGTAATTCTTACTGATTTGTTATAGTGCTGAACTGTCAATCTCTCTGAGTGTCTTTATTTTTCATACATTAAGTTACATTTATCAATATATTTATTTAAATCATATATGTGTAGTTTGTAAACCAATATTATATGTGCTATGATGGGAAGTGTCCGAAATCTGATACAGATGCACGATATCCTACTCTCTAACCCTGACTACTTAAGCGAGAACACAAGAGTGGCCCAGAAAGTATATTAAGCTACCGAACAATATACATGAATACACATTTATATGTATGCGTCTCTACCCTTTAGAAAATTAATCATTTTCTTAGCCGGTATATGCACTTGTCCTTCAGGTCACTTCTGATCGTCATCGTGTAATCTTCACGTTTGGTCACGTCTGACTGGCTTACTATATCAACATCACTTTAAATATTGATATTAAGTTTGCTTAAGTAAATTCACTAATATTAACGATTATCTTTTCATTAGGAATAGTATATCGATGCGATCAATGTGATAGAAGGTTTTCATCTAAATCCAACTTAAGGGAACACCTGAAAAGGGTCCATCCAGGTGAGTTTTGATGATAATAATCATATTTCATCATGCAATTATATGCTGGATTACACTTTCATCATATCATAAGTTAACTTATACTTTTCATTTAAATCACTTTTATATATGAAATAATTAATTTATTGCCTTTATTCAGTATTGTTCCATTGAATCGTTTAGCTTGAAGAATTATGAGACTATCATTTATTGCATAAAACATTCTGAATTCATCTATTGGATCACATATCCAACTCAGTGTTCGACACTATTAATTCAAGCACATTATGTAAATTTTAAAGTCTCATAAATTATTACTCAATTTTACTCATATGACGTGCACGAATAGCAACATCGATTGGTGATTGTTGTGATTAGCGTTAAATGAAAATGTAAAAAAAAATTTCATTTAGTAGTAATAAACACATTTAACATTCTACTAACTCCAATTCTTAGCTATTTCATCTTAGATCCACAGTCACTAATGTTGACTATCCTCATAAATGTTCCAGTGAATAAGCAAAGATGGATATTGGCTAGCAGTGGAATCTAGGACGCGCGTTTCGTCCTAGGTTCTACTTTTAACCACTAACCATCTTTGCTTAAAAAGCTTGTAACTTAAGGCAATATCAAGGCAATCTGCACAGAATGCACATGCCAACAAGAGACTGATCAATTACAGTCCTAAATTACAATAGGAAGATACAAGTAAAAAACAACACAAAGTAAATGTTCCAGTGAATGTTTATCACATTTTTCAGATGATATGTGTCACAGAATCATTATGGGCTTATTTTACTATTATTATTATTATTGTTATTGTTATTATTATTATTATTATTATTATTATTATTATTATTATTATTAGCTTTATTCAATATTATATTATTGGTACAATATAGAATTCTCAGCACAAAGTATTTCAACAAGTTTCCGTTTCTTTCTTCTTGGTCGGTCCTCGCGATAAATACTGAGTGATCGCCAGCTAGATGTTAACAGTCCAGTAAATGAACATCTGAATAATGTACATTCTTTTCGTTGTATATTGCCAGCAACAATATTCTCTCTTTTTGAGCTTTTTGTAACTTTGACAACGAAAGGTTGTACACTTTTCAGAAACGCAGCAGAATAGGTTGTGCGATTAATAGACATAATGATATATTAAAACAAACAAAGATAGATAACTTGTCGAAATATCTAGATGGCAGGAACAGGTAGCCCAGATGCTCAAGCAGGCCGCCTTGTATACCTGGGAATAGAAATAAATTGATTTATTATTCCACTAAACTTAATAGTTATTATTTTTTCCTTTTGCAATAAAATATACTTTTAGGGGTGAGGTTTCGTTGTGAACAATGCAGTAGAAAATATTTAAAAAGAAGTAAATTGAATAAACATGTTATAATGGTTTATAAAGGTTATGATTGAGTAAAATATCAAATATTATTTGTTATTTTGTTTTTGTAAGAAATTTATGTAATATAGATAAGAGGTGGTTAGCAACGGAATCTAGAATGAGATCATGAACTGATTGATGTTAGATCACCATTGAAAACCTAGAAGCACTGGACGGCGGTTTCATCCTGTTGTGGGACTCCTCAGCGGTGCGCATCCACGATCCCGCTCTTCTGGTTTTGATGTCTTCCATTGACCTGAATTTTTTTTACTTATGCAAATATGATCTTTTTGGTTCTGCGTGGTGTGGTTCAGTGAGATCCATGCAGCTTTGCGTATGTGTTTATGTGGGAATGTAGTGTCGCCTATAACCATTTTGTTGATTGCACATAGATTAGCGAGTCTCTGACCATTCTCGTTCCTTTCTCTTAGTCCATGATATGTTTATACCTGGTGTTGTCCATTTCGACTTTGGCGTTTAGGTCTCCCATCAGGATTGTCAGGTCGCTATGATTGATTGCAGCCTCTTGTAAAACTGATCTTTATCGTTGTCGTTGCTATCACTGGTGAGTGCATAATAATGGGTAAAATTCATTATGATTCCCTACTACTATGTTTGGAGGGATTTTTTGATGATCCTGAAACCATGAGATTCACATCCTATAAATGGATTTCGTGCTTCTTCGGACAATATCAGAGCAACTCCCTAAGTGTGTGGAGCATTTTCCTCTTCTTGACCAGAGTACAGCAGCACTTCTCCCAAAGCTGTCTTTTTTTGTCCTGCTTGAGTTCAATGGGTTTCGCTGATTCTGAGGATCTCCAAGTTGTATCTCCTCATTTTCGTAGCTATTTGACTGGTCCTCCCGGCCTCTTACATTGTCCGGATATCCCATGTACCCACGTTAATTGTTGCTCTGGTTGTTAGGAGGGGCATAGGCCTCATGAAGCCCATGAAGCATTATAATTCTTTATTCAACCCGGAGGATAGAGTTTAAATGGTTTAAATAGTTTATTCTGTTTAGCGTTCTTTTAACAAGGTTGTTTTGTATGGGATCGGTTTGCAGACCCCACGCCCAACCCTCCTTTGTGTGGGCTTGGGCACGCAGTAGTCCTAGAAGAGCTACAGGCGGAGTTGATGTATTGTATGTGTTCTATATTTCTGTTACTCTTAAATATTTTCTGTGGTGATTTACTTTAAAAACCAATTCTTTTTAGGAGAAGAATTTTCATCTGTTTAGAACGATTATATAATCTATTGAAGGATGTCGACTGAAAGAATCTTATATGCGAAGGTAATTGAAATTAACTTAGATGTGTAAATGGTCATTGTTAAATGTGATGTGTGAAAATAGTATATCAATATGACCGATATTACAGTATTTTAGCTGGTTGATACACTGTTAATTATTTCTTGTTAAACTAATCCGTTTCAAATTTTAAATACAAAACAATTCTCTGTAGCATCAATCTTGTCATTTTTCATGATAGTGCTATCTAAAGTATTTTGAAAATGAATGCTAAAAAGCAAAAGTTTGACTGAAACACTAATTAAATGAATATTTATAGGATTTATGAAAAGTTTTCGAATGTCTTGATGATAAACTTCGAAAACATCCCTTTATTATTTTTAACTTCAAGTGTTAGTCTCGTTAGACTAATTGTTAAGTTGCTTTATTTATAAGGATTATATTTTCGATGTGATGAATTGTTATTTTATACAACAGTGAACTGAAGAATTACGCCAAAATCTCATCTCAATTAAAAAGATTTAAAGAGACCAAATTTCTAACTATCTGACTGACTGTTATAACTTGTCAATTGAATGCTACTTGTTATATCCGGTTGTCGCTGATTGTTGTGTCGGAAACACTTATCACTTATACTTGGAACGAGGGACCTCCGCAATTCCCACGACGTGAGAGTAAGAACATAAAGACTGGTATACGTGAAGCTTTATTAATCCTCGAAACACGACGACGACCCTAGTCGAAATTACACTCATTTATATATTGATTGTACACACACTTTGACTAATAATTAGGATGAAATTATATATATGAAAAATACTTAGAGTTATAACAAATCACAGACTGAGCATAGTTCATATCAATTGAATATACAGAATAAAATATCATACGAGAAGACAAAACAACTACTACACTGAATGATCACCACATTGAAGCAGAACAGAAGTAATCTTGAACAAAACTCATAATGAGTAAATCAATCGAATCTTGACTTTTCTTCTCATCATATCACTGACCATATTAAGAAATTCTATTTATCTATTGATGGTTTACTGTTAATGACTTATATATCACATAATAGATGGCTAAAAGACAAATGTTACAATTGAATCAATGTTTTCTCATTTCTGTTCTTTCTAGTAAATGTAACTGTAACCTTTTAAACCTAAAGGTTTTTACTTGTCATTACTCACTGTTTCACTCTTATTAATTATTGATTTTGAACAATTTGGAGGTGAAATCTATTTATAGTTGTGTTGTTTTTACTGTATAACCTATATTTCACGTTATCTCAACGGTTCATAATATCCCTTAATTTTATAATGTGTCATGCATATTGTGATATTTAATTGTCAACAGTTAACTGATGTTCCCTTTTTTTTTTAAAACTTCAGTTATCTTCATTATTTAGTGACTGATGTTTGAAGTCTTCGTTATCTAACCGTCAGGTGTAATGTTGTTGCTGAAAGAGAAATACTCCTTTTCTATACAACGATCATAATAGAATGAAAAATTTAGTTTCTCATTTACTTCAATAATTTATTTTTCTTTATTGTATGTATATCAAATGTATCTTTTGTATAATATTTATTATTTTTATTTTTATTTTATATAATCTTGATTGTACAGATAAAGTTATTATTTTTACTGAGTTTATGGTTACTACTTTCTTTTGTTTACATGTGCGCCTGGGTAACGTATACAATATTCTTTCTTATTTCATAAATCCATACAAATCATATCGTTTCAAAGTGTAAAATAAATAAGCTGTATTGATTTTCAACTAACTATTTTATCGGGTACGACTTTTTGATCTGACGTTGTTAATCGCATTCGATCGTAAAACAGTATTAATCCAGGAAGTAAATGAAAATCATAGAGATGAAGAGAAATGGGAGTCAGATTCAGCTATGATTGTAATAGATTTATTGATCATATTATGTATATATAATGTAATTGAAATAGAACTCAAATATTTGAAATTGTGCCAAAAACCAAACCTCTAATTAGTTATGCTGAATATAGTTACTTGAATATCAATCATTTCCACAAATAATTTCTCAGTAGGTGTGTAAACATTTTTGGCATGAACATTGTCTATAGAAATAAATCTATTCTTTTTCAAAGTAATAAAGAGACTGTCTTTTAGATCAATCGGTATAATCCAGTACCTACTTACAACATTTTTAGTTTATGTAAAGCGAAATCATTTTATTCTAAATCCGCTTTGTATAGAAATCAATAAGCAAATAAATTTTTGAGACTGGACTGATTCGCTAAAGTTTGTTCATGAAACGAAGTCAGTTCTGTCGTTCGTACGCTTTATCGACGATTACATCCCTTCGGATACTTGAAAATTCCCTCATCAGTGGTACTTGTACAATTTGATAATTGTTTTTTACAAACTTAATTACATAGTTTCAATATATTACATATCTTTGAGTTCGTTCTATTCTCTGTTTTCAGTTCAGGTTCGGACTTGATTATCAGAATACGAGCTGATTAGCTCTGGGAATTACATTAACTACTATGAACACTTCGAATGGTCATAGTGGTATCAAGAAGGAAGCTATTATTATACCTTTAGATATAAATTCAAATGCCAATGTCTGAGTATTATGTAGAGTTACACCTGTTGCTCCTCGTGGAGGAGCATAGGCCGCCCACCAGCATTATTCATCGAAATCTGTCCTGGGTAATCCTTTTCATATCTGCTCCCAATAATCGTCTCAGTGTGTTACTTGGACTTTCACGTTCCGTTCCCCTTCAAGATTCCCACTTAGTGCTTGCTTCGTGATTCAGTTTGATGATTTGTAATTGTTGTACAGTGATGGAATGGTAAGTGTTTTGTATGCAGTTGATCGTGAAATAGAATTATTTCTCAATTATTATCTAATTGCTATGTTGTATGAACTAGCACGTAGGTTATTGAATTTCGACTGAAATTCTTGTGACACATTGATATATTTGCAGTAATTTGGTTTGCTGAATGGAGGAATATTGGATTTAAAATGGAGGACAATTCACTCGCATTGTCATAATATACTGTGTTGTGAGAATTGAGACAGCATTGTGCAAAATCTATTCAATATTATGTTATGTTCATCCATTAAATAGAAGACAAATGAACGTAGATGTTTCATGCAATATGAACAGTGATTGATCGATCGTTTATACTTACAGCATATGAAATGAACTTGACGATCTGTGAGAAACTGCTACTATTATTACCTCCAAGCAAACGAGTACACAAGAAACGTTCATCACTGAATAACATCTAATATGTTGTATAAGCACATTGAGAATTATCAACGATTGTGTGAACGTCACTCACGTATCTGCTCTACTTTCAATTGAGATATCAGTTGGGAATTCAAACTGATTTGTTCACTTAAAATTTGTCATGATATGCGTACCACGGGTATTGAAGTGTTAATAATTGATAAAATGGTTAGTTTTACTCATACTGGTTTAGTGACAGAGAAGCAGTGATATTTGGCATTGTATATGTGAGTGAATTAGAGAATGGTGTGAAGGCGTGTTGACACTGTCTGGAATTAGACAAGTTTCCAATTGAACGATGATTGACATTGTCTGATAATAACAAGAAAAGGGTTATCGGTTCAGGTGAATCACCAGTAAGTAAACTGAACTATTCATGAGAGCCAGAAATTCAGGCAATTCAATGTTTGTGAGAGTTGGGTTGAATATTGATAATATTGAAACATTGTTATATTTGTGTCCTATGTAAGGTGAAGTGAAGTCTTCTACTTCACAATAATGATAAAATTACGAAGAATATGTCATGATTTAGCATCAATTAGCATCACACGATATTGAGATCTAATGACTGTTCATCATACAGTTTTGTGAAAACACAGCATGCTTTGTACAAATGTGACCGTATCAAACATTTTTGACGAGATGAATTTGGCATACAGTTTATCTTCATTTGACCTCAGATTTCTGAGGTATGCATGAACTTTTGAGTCAGTGTCTGAGTCAGTCGCATTTATCATTAATAGATCTTCAGTTCTACCATTGCAGGCATCGAGTCTAACCACGAATTTCGAACTGTTAAAATTGGTGACTTAATTTAATTTTTCCACTTTGTGAACGACATCACATCAGAGCAATCTGGATTCGAGACTATTTCAGGAACACTTGACATGTTAATTGATTCATCATAGTATTGAATATGGATTCTACATTGCATATATGATTTGTGAGAGCAGCCGACATGTGCTACAATAACATCTGAAATGTGATCAGAATGTGACTCATTTAAAACATAATTTTCACATTGACTAAGAGTGAATGTATTGTGAGGATGGATAACATTTGATGTGGGACCATAAGAACCACGATTATGTTTGGCTCAATTATTGTGATGTTGATTTCAACAGAATATTATGAACAAATCTACTCGTAATTAGTTGCAATTCGATTTAAAATTGATAGCGTGGTTGCGAATGCATTTGTGTGGGTTTGTATTGAGTAAGAGTTTTCAATTCTGTCTGTTGTTGAAACATTTCTAGGGAATTAACTTAAGTGCGAACGTCGTTTAATCTGAATAAGTCATAGAATCTAATGAACAGGGAAGTCTCATTTCCACTTAAATGCAGTGACAGAATGATATCCATATTTTTTGTTGACATCAGTCATAGATGTGAGGAATATCAGCCCGAGTGATATGACAAAGTGAATAAATAAATAGAATTTCTAGATAAGGCGTAACAAAACAAATGTCAGTTACCGTATGTGCTTAGACGATCGCTAGACGTTGTAACAAGAATTATCACTTGCTGGTCTGAATTAATCTCAAGAGAAGATAAGCGTCTGTTAAATAATTGAACATTCACAAACGCGAACCTTTGGTAACGTAACGTTGCGATAGAGAAATAATTTTTATCTGAGTAAATTATTTTAACTAAGCGTGAGTGTTTCATGATGATGGCTCTAACAGAGTTCAATGTGAATAGGTGAATTCA